CATCACGTGCCAACTAACCCTAACCCTAAAAAACTAAAATTGAGACACAGGATAATAACCTCTACCCCGGGTATATTTTAAGGATTTTCGTTAAATGATACCCTTAAAGTCAGATGATATATGCGTAACGATACATTTAATGATTGACCAATCAGAATTAAACCCGCTATGCTAACCAACTACGGTCACTCCTCCCATATGAACATCACTCATTCCGATTGGTGAGATAGATTTAAAGATTACTTGTAAAGAATTTTACGTTTAATGGATAATCATTTAATGAAATTGGTTCGAGAGTTTTAAATTGATTAGTTGCCGACTTGAACTTTTTGATTTATCGATTTTCGATTCGTATCAATTAGCGGGACTTTATTTTTACTTCATTTCCTGATCCATTGAACTGAACGTGAATGTATCAACGAAGAATTCTACTTGTGGCCACTTCGACCACTCTAATAAATTCAAAACATACGTCTCGTCATCATAGTTCTACATTCCTTCAATCAAAATTTCGGATTCGAAATTATTTGAACAATCATAGATCATGTTCGTTTAAATACACTTGCCACAAGCGTAATATTTCAACAATTTACGATCTTAAGAACATATCTAAAACTTTTGTTTATCAATCTTCGAATCCTTCCTCGCAGTTCAGCGAGCCACCTTCAAATTTCGATCATTCTACGTCTCAATTATCCTCCGCCCTTCCTAATGATAATCAAAACCAAAACAATGATTTTTATAAACCTTCTTTAGTGATCATTATTGGTTGGTGGAATTGTAAATTGAACAATTTACGTAAATATATTTCTTTATACACCGACAAATTTCATGTGGATACTTTGTCTCATATACCACCATTTTATCATCTTTTTCTTCCTTGGGTCGTCCCTGATGCTGTTACCCACCTCGCCAAAGAATTAATTGGTGTTTGGATTGAACGTGGTAGACCCGATAATATTGGCTTCCATGTTTTTAGTGATAATGGTACTTACCACTATGCTATGCTATGTGAGGCTGTTAGAAATTTAGCCAATGTTAATTCTAACACGCTTTTCTCCAAAAAAAATACACCCGCTATATCAAGTACTGATGCCGAGTTGTTTTTAGATTCTATAAAATCTTGTGTTATAGATTCTGCACCTTCTCCGATTGATGAAAAATATGTTGCATTAGGCATTATGGGTGGCTTCTTAAATAAAACTTCTTCGCTAATTACTGCCTCTGATCCCTTGCATAAAAATGATGTTATCCAACTAACGGAACCACCGACTATTTTAATCAATTTCTTGTCAATATTTTTTACTCTGCCAATCGTAAAAAAATACCAAACATTCGCACATAAAGCTCTGAACAACATTCCTGGCGGGGCATTTGATGGTAGAAATGTTAATTATTTATTTTTATATGGTCCTGGTGACCAAATTGTTCCTGAGGAAGTCGTTATCAAATTTATAAATAGATTAAAAAATAGAAATGGTATCTACATTGGTGAAAAATCTGGTAATTTAAAAATTGTTGAAAAAAGATTTTATCCAGATAGTAAGCATGTACAACATTTCTTGAAATATCCCGATGAATACATTAATGCTTTAAAATTATTTTATGGAATAAACAAATAAATATCGCATGAAATACTAGCTTAATCATAAATTAATCATTCAAAACATCGTCCAACCACTTTACCATCTCAGTTTCAGTTTTATTTTTTCTAGATGCTTTACCTCTGCCGGTTGCTTTCCGAATCGGCTGTTTCTTAATATTATTTGACCTAGGAAGCGGTTTAGCTAAAATAAAATAACATTTCTATGAGCACAAAAATGTATTTATAGTATACAGAACTTCCAATGCTTAATTTACCGTCTTCATCTTCGAGCGATTTAAAAAAATCATCAATATCGTTTCCATCATTGACTGGTTTGGTCTCTGTTATTTTGGCCTTCACCTCTTTTACTGAAATTATAGTTAAACATTAATATCAAGCCGTAGAGGACAAATAATAGTTTTTAAACGAAAAGTAACCTGCTTTAGTATTAGGTGTAGCTATTGAATTTCTAGTAGTCAGACCTTGTACACTTTGCGTACTAGAGGCATCTTGGCTTTTACGCACTAATGATTTTTGAACGACAGATTTTATAGTTTTTGGAACGATAGGACGTGTAAGGTTTAACATCATCCATGAATCATCATCTTTCTGTAAAAATTAGAATTGATTGAGATGGTTGAATATTACAAGTATAAATGTATACTTACTAAAAAAAGATCGTCTAAATCCAATCTTTCATGTAATGGGACACTGCCTAATGATAATTCTAAAGAATCAAAACGAATGTTCATAAGATTTTGATATGTCTAAAAGACAAGTGCAATAAATAATCATTATTTTCATAAAGGTGAGGCTTGTTGAGTTACTTATGCATTATTATTTACCTCATTGGTCTCATTTTCAAACGTCTCACTAGATATATCCCATTCTTTCTCTTCTTTGAATTGGAAATATGTTGACGGATCGAAGGTCTTGTTGTCTGTAAAAAAGAATTTGGTTATAAAATAGTTTAATGAAATTAGGGAAAATGTAAAAATCTTTACCCGAATCATCAATCAATTGCAGAAATTCCAAGATTTCTGCGTCTGTGTCATCCTGTGTTTTGTGAGTTAAAGGCGCAGACATTTATCGCGAAATTATAATTCGGTGCAAGGACGATGATATTCTGCGGTGACAAAATGCCGTGATAAAAGATGATTCTGCGATTAGCCGGAATTACGTAAAGTCGGCCAGCATTATGATCCGCAAATTCATTAAGACTAGCAATACCGTCTAAAATTTTTCACATTTTTTTCACGTTACACCGGATCTCGAAATTTGATTGGTTGTTTCGTTTAGGGCTCTGCAAATTGGCCAGGCACTAGTGCCTCATACCTATAGGCTCAAAAGTGTCAGGAATTATTATGAGCATACTATATGCTAGGCAAAAAGGTGCCAAGCACAAGTGCCAAATAGTACCAAACATATAATTAATAAATACTAAATTTTTGTGCCCATGCCAAGTTTTTGTATCTGTGCTCATGCTTATGCAAAATTTTTGTGCCTGTGTCCATGCCCATGCCCCCTAGTTTCGTTATTTCACGTGATCTGTTCGCAAATTCTGGCCGAATTAATATCAGCCTGCATTATGATGACTGTAGACCCTAAATCCAGGCCAAAATTTAAAAAATGACCTGAACCAATTCTGTGATTTTTAGCCAAATTTTCTAATGTAGATCATGCAATCCTTAGAAGGCCCAAGTAAAATTCATGTGATTGTAAAATATATTTATATAAGTACCGTTTATGGAAACGTCAGAAATGCATCCTCTCACAAAAAAATGACGGGCTCATTATTCAAAAACATCTTTAAAATTCCCGCGTTGAGCATTTCGAAACAAAGAGGATTATCAAATGTTGGTGTTTTTGCTATGCAGAAGAGGCTTTTTGCTTCTTCAAATGACGGCCAGGTGAATTATGATAATTTGAGCATTTTTAAAATAGTTTGATCAATCGCGTTCAACATTCAACTGAATAAATTGCAATTTATCGATGAATTCGACTCTTGATTATTACATGCTTGTAATGCATTTTTGTTTATCAATACTTTATTCAAAGATGACAGTGAGAGAGGCCCTTAACGCAGCACTTGATGAAGAACTTACTCGCGATGAGCGTGTTTTTCTAATTGGCGAAGAAGTCGCTCAATATAATGGCGCATATAAGGTGAAAACTTCAAATAAACTAAAGTTTACTATGTAGTAAAATATGTAAATTTTTATAGGTATCAAAAGGGCTTCTTGATAAATTTGGTCCGAAGCGTATTATTGATACACCTATTACAGAGTCAGGTTTCACTGGTTTGGCCATAGGTGCAGCGTTATCTGGATTAAGACCTATATGTGAATTTATGACATTCAATTTTTCAATGCAAGTATGTAACTTACAACTCATTAATTATTTCTCGATAATTAATGACGTTATCATTAATTGTTTTAAAGGCTATAGATCAAGTAGTCAATTCAGCAGCAAAAGTTCATTATATGGCAGGTGGTTTAGTACCATGTCCCATTGTCTTCCGAGGTCCAAATGGTTCAGCAGCAGGTGTTGCAGCTCAACACTCTCAAGATTATGCAGCATGGTATGGTGCTATTCCAGGATTAAAGGTTGTATCACCGTGGGATAGTGAAGATGCCAAGGGGCTATTAAAGGTATATAGTGCATGTATATTTATTTATTTATTTATTTCTTGAAATATTTTTTTAAAAAAATAAAAGCATATTAAAAAATATTATTTATTTGAAAGTCTGCAATTCGAGATCCTAATCCGGTTGTCGTATTAGAGAATGAACTTCAATATGGAATTTCATTTCCAATGTCTGAGGAAGCAATGTCACCCGATTTTTTACTACCAATCGGTAAAGCCAAAATTATACGAGAAGGCAAGGATGCTACAGTTGTATCATATTCAAGAACAATAAATTTTTGCATTGAAGCCGCCGAAAAGTTACAAGCTGACGAAGGAATTTCAGTTGAAATTATTAATTTACGATCGATTAGACCATTAGATACTAATACAATAGTAAACTCAGTTAAAAAAACGAATCATTTGATATCTGTTGAATCGGGATTTCCGCATTTTGGAGTTGGTAGTGAAATATGTGCCTTGGCGATGGAAACAGAAGCATTTGATTATTTAGATGCACCAGTAGAAAGAGTTACGAGTGCAGGTAATTTAACAATTTTTTTCATTTTATATTATTTATTATTAAATATTCACGTTCTATATTATTTTATATACATTTAGACGTTCCAACGCCATATGCACAAAATATAGAGTATATGAGTTTTCCAAATGCAGAAGTAATAGTTAAAGTCGTCAAACGTTCATTATACAGAAAAAAGAAGTAAAACCAACCACTTTTATTTTGTAGAGGCAGTAGTGCATATCGGATTCAAATTTTAGTTATTTAAGAAAGAATGATAATTAAACTTGTTCTTATCTGAAGCTAATGAAGTCCGATATAATTGATGCAAACATTAACTTTTAATAAATAACTTATATAATGATTTTGACTGTTGACTCTATTCTGCCATGGTACTCATTTAATGACAAAAACAAACTGGCGTGAACCTTGGACATGATCAAATTAAAACTGAACAATTAAAAGATTTTTTTTTATTTGTCTAGCGTCTTTGAAATGAATTTAAGTTCGATCAAATCAAATATGGGCTAGTCATCCAGAAAAAAAAGTGACAGACACGTGACGCGATCATTTCCGAAATAGCAGATCAAAATTTTCTAGCCAATCAGAAAAATTCATTCAATCAGTATCGTTATTCGAAGAAATACCAGATTTTTACAGATTATTGATCTTACAACGTGTTGAATAAGAAAGACTAGCTCTCAGGCCCGAGCGATGCACCGGGTTTAGGTTTTAAGTGTTTTAGATCTCAGATTCTATAAATATTTAATTTATAAATTTAATATTAGTTTAAAAAATAATGTAGCAATTAATTTATAGTTTTCTAACTCTCAGGTCTGAGTAATGTTTTAAAGTTAGATTTTAAGTATTTTAAATGTTAGATTTTGTAATTATTTAATTTATAGACTTAATATTAGTTTAAAAAATATTGTAATAATTAATTTATAGTTTTCTAACTCTTAGGCTTAGACAATACTTTAAGATTAGGTTCTAAATATTTTAGGTCTTAGATTTTATAATTAATTAATTTATAGTTTTTTAACTCTTAGACCTTATATGTTTCCAATCTAAAAAACATAAGTTATCAAATATAATGAGTTGGTCTAGATAGAAAATACAATGTGTTAAGTTGTTTTTTAAATATTAAGTATTTAGTATATGATGAGAATACTAATTTAAGTAAAATAGATTCTTCTTAAATAGTATATAAAATATTGTATAATAGGTTAGATGCAAATATTATATTAAAATATTTAAAAAGTTGAATAATTTTAAATTAACAGTATATTTGTTAGGCTCATCAATAATAAGGTTATTATATATCAAAATACTAGTAGATAACTATAAGTTGTTTTAAAGTTATTGAAGTCTAATACAAGTATTTGTTTCTAAAAGATCAAAAGAATTAAGCTTTTTAGTAAAGTTTATAATATAATGTTGTAATTAAATGTCCTATATATTGTAGATATTATTTTTTTTTTTTTGGTATTAAGGTGATCTCTTTGGTTTTTTTGACTTTTATTAATTACTTATTAGTATTGTGATTCAATAAACTACTACAGAAGAGTATACAATTAACTACATATATAACTTTTCTATATTACCTATTTAAGGAGTTTGCCTGAAGGTTCTTTATCAATTGTTATATTTAACATCTCTGCTGAGTATTCTACTTTAAACTCTCTGAACCTGTAATCTGTGTTAATATTACTGAATTATACCTAGATATTCAGATCATTGTCTTAATCTTAGAACTAATTTATTCTTAAAATAAACCATTTAGAACCTTCTGTACTCATTTTTATAACTAATTTAGATATTACTATGGCAGAACTAACACTTGTAGTCAGGGTTAATCATTAAACCACTATGTCCTTGTAAAGTTTACTTAGACCCCAACATCTACTTCACAGCATAACCCCAGTACTTTAGTATATTTCTGCTTTTTTACCTGCCTTTTTACCAAACTTCCAATTTAGATAGACTGTGTAGGACTATAACCAGTCCATCAGTATATCAGGTTAACCTGATATCCTTTTCTTCTAATTCATTTTGATGGCCTGGTTAGTGATACCTTTAAGACTTCCAATCCAAAGGTTCTTGCCTGTCTGGCTACTATGACTAGATACTATGATCTTGGTATTCATTTTTCTAAACAAGCCTTTACAGTAAAGCCATTAAAGATCCAGCTACCTTTCTACTCAGGTCTTTTCAAATAGACTTCTTGTTACCTAATTTCAACAGATTTATATAATCACAAGAACTTATTTAGTATTTGTATTATCTGATTTGTTAGTTTGCATTCTTCTGTGTAATGTTATACTTACACAGATGCCCCATGATCTGCCAGTCATACTGGTGTGACCATTATTACAGGTATCCTAACCCAATCATTAGTAACAGTTGTCATAATATGAATATTATATAGGTAATTATCCAAATTTTCACTATTAATAGAATTTGAACATCCAATCTATTACTTAGGAGGTTGACAACCTAACTACTTCACTAGGTTATCACACTCCTATTGTAGATATTATATAGTTGAAGATGAAGTAATATGCTAGTAAAAATTATACAACTAAGTTTAGCTTTGTTTTTTACAAGTCTAATATAACTTGTAAAAATTTTGTTATATATATTTTGGTTAAAAACAATATTATAAACTTAATATTCAATTGTAGAAATAATGATAGTATTGTTAATATAATAAAGCATATATGTTAGTCATTTACTTAGTGCTTGCAATTTTGATAAGATATAATAATTCTGTTATAATAAGTTTGATTTATTTAGTTTGTTAGTTGTTGAGTGTAAACTAATATATAAGAAATTTGAATGGTTCATATGATAAGTAAAGGTTAAGAAGATAGTTGTTGTATAATAAGAGCATAATTAGTTTGTTTGTGATTGGTTGTAAATACAATTTTGAAAAAATTAATTTGTATATTAGCTATATTAAAAAATGATTCAGCTGTAAAAAGAATTTATAATAGTTCTTGTTATAAGAATGCAATTTAAAAAATATAATTTATATAGGCAAGAACTGAGCAATGTAAATTAAGTTAATTGTATATTTAGTATTTGAGATTGGTAAGCCAAAAAACTTGCATAATATAGTCTTGAAATTGTTGTAAATATATAAAATAAGTGGATATAGTAAATTTACTATAAAAGAGAAGTAATAGTTTTATTCTAATTAATGTTATTAAGTACAAAATATGATAAAGTAAAACTAAGGTTTGTGATAACTTGATTTTATTAATTAGTAAGTATGTTAATAATAACATTAATAATAAAATCAAAAAATGCAAATCATTATAAAGATTTTTGAAGAAAAATATAATTGACAGAATTATATACTTTACTTATAACTTGAGATAAAAGCCAGATTAGTTTGTAGTTGCATAATGCATCTTTAATAAGATTGTTGAGTATATAAATTAATATAGATGTGCTATTATTGAATAAGGCAATATAATTATATGATAAGAAAATAAAGTGTTAAGAAAATACAGTATTAATTTTAGTAATAATAATCTTTATATAAACTTTTTAAATATGTTTAATAAGACTTATAAAATAGGTAAGGTTTAAGTCATTATTAAATATATTATATTTTGAAATAAAATAAATTTTACTATATTTTTATTGTTTAAAAATTTGATTTGAGTTAAAGCAATAGTTAAAGAGAACTATAATAGCTTTAATATAGATAATGCTTATATGTTTAAGTATTTTATAACTTATGTTTATAAGTTTACAAGCTTTTCTGTTAGACAGTTTTGATAAAGTTTAAAAAACTACTTTTTTTATTATAAATAAGTTAAAAAAATTATACTATTTTTTTTTAACTTTGGCAGCCATAATAGTCAACTAGTTAGAAGTTTATTTATAAATGTTTAGTACAAATAATATACAAATATAACTATATTTAACTACATATATTATTATTATGTAGTTACTCTAATTGGTACCTATAAGTAATCTGTTGCACCAGATCTGCTAAAGTCTGGATTGAGCTTGTCTGTCTGTTACTCTACAATTAAACAGCATTAATTTTTTTATTTTTATTTTTATTTTTATTTTTTTTTATTTATATAATATCATAGTAGAAATTTTAAAATACAATAAGAAATTTAATTACAGAAAAAAATTCCTAAAATAAAGATTTCTAAACTACATTTGTGTTGCTA